CTGCCGACGGGGGAAGGAGCGGCCTGCCGGGCTGGGGGAGAGGTGCCGGACTGCTCCGGGAAGGGGCCGAACAAGGGCAGATTGTGGCAGAAACGGGTTTGAGAAGAAAGCGGCGATTGCCGCTTTCCGCAGGTGGGGATCTGTTGTAGCCCAAATGAAGCGGGCTGGGGCAGCGGTGCTTCTTTTCCGAGTCGGTGACCAGAAATAAACAGCAGTGCCGTGCACAGCCACTCAAAAGTTCTCCCCAAACTGCTTTGCTGTCTAGGCACGAGGGGAACTAATGCTTGTCAGTGCTGTCAGGCCGGGTGCCTCTCTCTTGAATGCTCCCTAAAGTATTATTTGGAAATAATGATGCTACTTCGAAGAAGCTGCCGTGGTTTGTTACCCCTTAACAGTGTAACGTGTAAAGAAGGCAATTTATATGGAAAGCAGCTGTAGGCAGCTTAAGAGGGGGGAATGGAACCATGTAATCTTTCTGTTGTGCTTCCGGACTTGCTGTAGTTTGTCTTAACCCTGTTATGTCTTTTCCTGAGTAGAGGATCCTGCTATTGAAACTGCAGAGGAAGCTAAGGAGCCAGCAGAAGCAGATATCAATGAACTCTGCAAAGACATGTTCAGCAAAATGGCCACTTACTTGACAGGTGAACTGACAGGTAAGGCACTGCAATACTGACCTGCAAGTTCTTTTTTTTCCACTTTGTTTGAAAGAAAGCTCTTGGATAGCTTGTCTAAACTGTAACTATTTAGATTGCGTCTCGTAAGACTGGCAGTCCAAATTTGGCACATTGCTAGGCTGCTAAGAACACTGAGATTGGTTATAATAATTTAATGAAGTCCCAGAATATTACAAATATTTTTCAGAACAATTCAGTGTGATGTCAGCAGCTTAAAAATATTTCTTTTTCATCTCAAAGAAGTTTGTACATGGAAAGTCAATCTAACAAAAGCATCTAGGTTAAAACAGAGTAGGAGGGAGGCACTACAGAGAGTGGAGTAATTTTTTTTCTTGAGAGCAAGAATCATATATGTTTTCCAACATTTATGCTTTAGAATAAACTGCTGTGCAAAATTAACTGGAGCAAAGTAAACTGTTCATCAAGTTAATGCATGTCCTAGGCTCTAATTTTGAAAGCACTCCTGATTTGCAGACTATAGGAGGAATATATGTTACAAATTACAAGTCTGGATTTGTGCTATCAGTTTTGTAAACATAAGTGTCTAACTGACAGAGTTAAGAATAGAAATGTGAGGACTTAGTAAATTTTTTGGAATTCACAAAATGTCATCTTTTTGTAGAGTGTATACTAATAACCTGTATTGCCATCTAAACTGTTGTGCTTTATTTGGCTGTTGGATTGAAATCTCTTGTCCTCTTGAAGAGTCTGCGCACAATTCAAACCACATCACCTTTAATTAAAATATACTTTATATTTTTTTTAAGCCACCAGTGAAGACTACAAACTCTTGGAAAACATGAATAAGCTGACTAGCTTGAAGTACTTAGAAATGAAAGATATTGCTATAAACATCAGTAGAAATCTGAAGGATTTAAACCAAAAATGTAAGTACACCAAATAAGGTAGGGGTGTCATAAATGGCACACTTGTTTGGGAAATAAAGTATCTTAGAGGCAGAATGTTCACACTCCATTAGTGCTGAAGGAAATAAAACTCACTGATATAGATGTGCTGCTATGCAATGCCAGTCTTGTATATTTCTTAACAGCTTTAGACTCTGTAGACTACTGTAAGAGAAAATACATCTGAATTTGTGTCCTGGTTTACCCCAGACTCTGGATCTGATAGGTATAACACGTCTTTTAATTAATGTTCTCTTGTTACTTGTGTTAGAGACTAGACAGTACACTTAAACATTTAATATTTTCCTGGAACATGGCTGTCAGAGTCACCACTTAATTTTGGGCTGAGAGAGGGCACCTTTTGAAGTGTCCCATCTGAAGAATGTAATAAGAAATTCTTGTGTTTCAAGTGTGAACTGTTTCTTGGAAGTGCATTACTGAGAACTGACAGATAAAATTTTCATGCTTTTTTAAGATGCTGATCTTCAGCCATATCTGGAACAGATAGACCTAATTGAGGAACAGGTTGCAGCTCTGGAGCAGGCAGCTTATAAACTGGATGCATATTCCAAAAAACTTGGTAACTATCGTCCTCCACTTTAAGACCTGGAAGCATAGTGCCTTGCAAGAGGATTAAAAAAGAATGAAAGAATGTAAACTCTGTTTTGTTTAACAAATCTGAGGTGCAGAGTTGCCTGTGCTGCTTTTGAGCACAAACATTGTCTGTGAAGTGATAAGCATTGGGAAAAGATTCATGTCATGAATTATGTTACGGTGGACCAGTACAGATGTTGTTAAACTACTGCTTATTAGTGAGGCTTGGTTTTTTTTTATGGTAGGCACTGACTTATAATTTAAAGTCTGCTGTTTAACCTTGCAAGTTAAGGTGTTCATAATGTTCCACCAGCAACCCAAGCCCTCTCGGCTTAAATTGCTTAAATTAATATTATTGTCTGACTTAAGCACTGGGTTCTTAAAAAATTATTGTACAAATTTATCTGCCTAAGTGCATTAGGAGAAAATGATCCTGAATGATACAGTAAATTAGCTTACAGGTTGCAAAGCTTTTTCCTACCAAGTACTGAAGTACTATTTTTCCTTCTGCAGAAGCCAAGTACAAAAAACTGGAGAAACGATGAAATTACCATAGTCTGTAAGCTGGAGCTGGGCAGTGAATCCAACTGATCTCTGGTTTTGCACAGCAGCAATTCTGTATGTTGGCAAGGATTTGGTTTACAGCTGACATGGAGACTGGGACTTTTTCCAGCTATTGGTAGGCTGTGTTCAGGCATAAGGCTGAATAATATTTTCCTCTTCTCAAGGGGTACTGTTGCCTCAGTTCTGCAGTGAAAAGTAGAAGCCTGTCTTTAACTCATGTCAGTATTGGCTATATGTGTGTTAGTCCTGTTCTCCACATGAAATACTTGGTCTAGGGAAAGTCTTCCATAATCTGTAAAGACATTTTCCCTTAGTAGCAGCTGGACCTAAACTTCAATTTTTCTTTCATTGGGTTCTGTGTTGGGAAGATACCTGGAACTTTGGACTTAATGGGTGGGGTATTGAAAACACTTCATTTTGGTGTCCCCTTTTATCTGTTTGAAATAGAGAGACAAATTTACAATAAACTTGCTGTATATATTTCTCTGGAATCTCAACTTCTGTTGGAAAGATTACACAAGCTGTTTTTTTTTATTTTTTAAAGGGCTCTGTTAATAAAGACAAACTCCTTCAAACTGCTAGGGATGATAGAAGAGAACGTGTTTTAAACCTCTGCATCAAGTATTCCTGCCATTATATTCTTTGACTGTTGGGACTACTGGTGAAGTTTCAAGACATATTACTTTTATTACATGCTCAGTTGACTTAGCAGACCCTTTCTCTACTTCACCAGTGAATTTTGATCCTAGTAGTTTTTGAAGTGGCATGCCTACCACAAAAATCTACTTCTCTACTAGGTTAACAACATTCCAAATTGCTGATTTGGCAGAGCCCTTTGTACTGAACAGTTATTCGTCCTACTCCAAGGATATTTTTTTTGTACCTGCTGACCTTAAGTAATTCAGGCTGCCTTTTAAGTGAGTTGTGGTTGAAGACAGTGCAAGTGCTGTATGTAAGAAGGAAGTGGTTCAAGCTTAAGAGTGTTTACAAGTCAGGTGCTAGTGTGATAAAGATCATCATGCTGTCAGGCTGTGTACAGCCATTGTTTAGTCAGGATAGACACTTTTCCCTAGTGCTCTTTTTGAAGAGTGAAGCAGATGACTTTCGAGTGCCTTCACCATCACTTTGAAAATCCTGGCTTTGATATAGAAATAGCATTTCTGTGCTCATGTTGTTACCTGGCAGGACTGCAGGGGAACACAGGGAGGCACCATTCCAGCAGGGAAAACCACAGATCCCACAGGAAAGGCACAGGATGGACCATGGGCTGTTCCTTTTGAAAAAGTTGCTTTTCTGTGTGTACAAAATACAGTGCCATTTTAAAACTACAAGGATGAAAACCTCCAGGGGCTCTGAAGATGGAAATCCTTCTAGCCATACACTGTCACCAAGTGCTCAATGTTTTCAGGTAAGAAAGGTAAGAAATAGTTCCTTCACAAACTCTTTGAGTATTCCACCTCCAGAAAGCAAAAATGAGAGAAGGGCTTGTCCCACAATAAACTTTCTTTTTGAGAGGAAATTTTAGAGATGGACTTCCTGGCTGGCTGGAAGACTGTGAGAGTGGCATCCTAGTTAGGCCAAGAGCTGACAGCTATGTTCCCAGTTGTGTCTCTGAGTAACTGTTACCCTCCCTGCCTGAGGGACCTCTGGTAGAATCCACATCATGTCAAGGGTGGCAGGTCCTTGGAGAGTAGCACCATGGAGGAGACACAGGTGTGTGTGAACAGCATTGAACTGGGGAAATGTATAGTCAGTCTAAAAGCAAAGCCACAACTTGGTTACTGCTCAGCTACTGAAGAATCCCTGAGAAATTCCAGAGGAGATAAATCTCAGAGTTCTTTGCAGCATTTTCTGGTGGAAAATAGAGTAAGAAAATAGTGGATTCTTAAAAGGAGGAACAGGAGGAAAACAGAAAAGGGAGGGCCGATGGATGAGAGTCCAGGGGCAAAGTGAGTCATCAGAATGGTCTGCAAACCACTTTGGAGCTGAAGCAGTTCTTGATGGCTTGGACTGCAACTGCAAACCAGGGAATGAAAATCAGCCTAGCAAATAACAGCTCTTTTAGAAGAAGCAGAAGTGTTCAGTTCCAGAGATTTTTTTTTCCAGCATCTGAAGACAGTTCTGCCCAGCTGCTCTAACAGGTTATGCTGAAGTCATTCAAGTTTCAGAGCAGTACTTTGTGGAGATATCCACAGTGTTCAGAATCAGGGCACATGGCTTTAGTCCTCTAATCCCAAAGCCCACTTCATACCATGGTGGAGTCTCCAGGCACTAAATCTGTTTTGCTGATCTGCATTGGCTGCCTCCTTGACTTCTCAGCATGAAGATAACTGGAATAAGAAAGCTGCTCCCTCATTTGCTTTGGCTATTTTTGTCATGGCACAGCTAAAGTGGAAATACAGTGCTTTCTTCTTTTTATCTGGTGAGGGAATTTATTTCTGTGATTCTGTGGAATTTGTGGCTTTTTGTCTTTGTAATATCATGCTAGTAATGCATAGTATATCTAGCTTATTAATCTTTGAAAGGAAGCAAGTTCTGTCTGTTTCACATAAACAGTTAATGGCATTGTGGTAATTTTGCAGTTCTGTCTTTTCCCACGTAATATAGATTGAGCTCTCTCTCTTCACTGTAATCACTATATATTGATGGGAATGTGATCAAGGCAGGAAATGCCAGCCATTGATCTGTGCATATATGCTTAGCAAGTCATATAAACTTTATTAATTTTTTTTCCTTATTGTAACATTGCTGTAGTGATCTTTATGTACTTGATAAAATATTGAGAAGATGCAAGCTGGCATTCATCTAGGAAAAGGTACTGGGGGGGATCCTGGTATGATTTAATTTGTCCTTTTTTACCCAATGAACAGCTCTGTAACCACAGTTGGGGTTCTGATGGGTCCCATAGGGTCAGTGCAGCTTTATTCCAAATTGGGAATGGATGTTTATAGATCATTAACCAGCTCATTCTTCAAGCCACAGTACATTTCATAAGAGTGAAATGAAGCAGTCAAATGTGTACAGGACTTGAAAGAGATTTTGGAGCATAAGCTTTGTGGACACTGGTTTTTCACTAAAAGATCTTCTGGAATATCAGAAAAACAACAATTCAGTATACTACTTCTTTATTTTGCAGTATAAATTGTAATTTCACAAACCCTCATTGTAATCACAGAGGATAACCCATCTGCCCAGTCATTGACAAGCTCTATCCCCACTACAGTAGACAGTAAGTTTTCGGGAAAGAAGTCTATGTTATTTACCACAAAATACCCTTATGTTTGTCTTTACAAATAGATTACAAAGAAACTGAAAGTACAGAGAGAGGTACTTCAAACAGAGTTTGTAAAAACCCTGGAGTACAAGCATCTATTGCTGGTGGAACCTGTCAGGTGATAGGGGCAGCAGCAGCAGGGCTCTGAGAACTCGTGCAGGCAGCCTGGCATGTCAGGAGCCAGACAGCAACCACAGCTGGGTGAGGTAGATGCAGAGGGGAATCTGTAATTTTGCACAGGGTACTGTGTCGTTCCCTGTGTGATTGCCTGCTCTATTAAGAGCTGGCTGTGGTGATTATAAAAGCACCATACAATTTTCTTTTCTAAGCACTCCTGTCTCCATAAATGGTTTGAGTGTTTCATTCTCAACAGACTGGGGAATGACTGTCATTCAGCCAGAGCACTCCTGAGTTTGGGAGCTGGAAACTCCTCACTTGGCTAACGTGGAACGAAAGAGACCTCATAGTCTTGGGGCATATTTGCCAGACTGGTGACTATTGGGGTGATGTCAATGTCTTTGTGATCCACAACAGGCTTCAAAGTGAAGTTCTGCAGGATGGATGTTAAAAATATGAATATCTCCATTCGGGCCAGACCTTCTCCTGCACAGATGCGTTTTCCTACAATCAAAAAAAAAACCAGAAAAAGAAAGAGGTCACAGTGGCGTATTTTGCTGATAACTGATTTTAGCCACAGTTCCATGAAAACTGAGACATCTCAGACTGCACAGGCAGCACTGCAGTATTTTGGGGAAGCATGAATAAAACTAGGAACTAAAGGTCTAGACCAACAAGAGTGCTCAGTGAGTGAAGGCAGTTTGAAGGCTTTGGTTGCTCAAGTGCTGCTGCTGTTTGATGGTTTGAGAGACAAGTTGTGTGGTTGAGTCCCACATCTTACACATCTTGTAGAAGGCATTGGAGGAGTTCTTGTGTTTGCTAAAAAAGGAAGTCAGCTGGAACTGTAGTACAGGGGTTAGAGCTTCCCAGAAGTGACTGTAGCAGATGTCAGCTGACACTGTTGTACAGATAATGGTGATGGAGCCATGAAATCTTCAGAGAGATTTCAGGACAAGATGGTCTGGGATCTGAAATAGCAAGAGGTCTTACCTGTAGAAAATGGCATGAAGTAGTCACTCTTTTTAAAGGTACCATTTGCATTCAAGAAATGTCCTGGGTCAAATTTTTCTGGATTTGGAAATTCTTTGCTATCATGTAGGACAGAACTCAGCATAGGGAATATCAGAGTGTCCTGAATTAACAAAAACAAAAGATACAATGGAGATATGTTAAAGCAAGGAGGCCCTTAGAAGTTCCCAGAGCTAAACAAAAGGGTAGTCAAAGTTTAACCACTTTTAAATGAACATTTAATGCACAAAAATATATGCCATTGGTATGGCAAAGATGTTTTTTAGGGAATTTTCATAAAGAGTCTGTTTAGAGTATTTAATATTGTGTCCAAATAAATTACAGCTTACAGTGATGTGAAAAAAAACCCCAGAAATATCTCCCTCTTCATACAGAGGATGCAAAAGTATTTTCTTATTTTTTTCTAATACAAGGGCTTGGACTCAGCAACTTCCAGAATCCCCTTACAAAAAAAAAAAATTCAGTATCACATTTCAATGCTTTTGAAAATAAATACAAAGAACAAAACTCAATTGTTGTTTTCAAGAGATTATGACCTTTCTCAGATACAGTGTAACAGACCTTGGGGATAAAATAGTCTCTGAACTTGGTGTCTCTGATTACAGCATGTGGGACATTAATAGGAAGGAAGTCAATGTATCTCTGGATTTCGTGGATCACAGCATCTGTAAAGGGCATCTGGCTCCGATCCGACATGCGAGGGCTTCGCTCTCGGCCAATCACGGAATCAATCTCCTTTTGCATTTTCTCTGTTGAGAAATAAGTAAATGTTGAATGAACAAATCCCCCATCTGCTTGCTTGAACCTCTCCTTTTATACAACAAAATATTCTTTTAGCATGCCAGGAATATATGATTATACTCAGTACTAACATCTGCTTCTTGTGAAGACAACTAAGACTTACACACATCTCCACACTGCTAAAACATACTTCCTTAGTCAGGGGAGTATTGCCACATGTGGTAGTGACAGGAATTGTCCAAACTGATCCCACAACCTATTAAAATTTTTTAAACTATTTATTTCCATTACCTACTATTTCCGGGTATTTATGAAGAATCAGAATTGCAAATCTCAGTGTGATGCTTGTGGTCCCTGTTCCTGCAAGGAACAAGTCGAGTGTGGTTCTGCTCAAGGTCTCAATGGTGAATTTTGAGTCAGCATTCCCTTTCTCCTGCAGGAAGATTTGGCAGAAGGTTTTCAATGACAAACCCAAGAAGTATGCTTACAAAGAAAAATTCTGTACCCATAATGTGGGTTTATCTTTAGAAAGAACATCTAGTGTTCTTTAAAAAATACTCTCCAGAACGCCAGAATTTATATAGGTTTACTAAATAATATTATGATATGGAAGGAGCATTGAATTATATTAACCAGATTGGTCTTCAGCTTTCATCACTTTGGCTCACGCTGTTAATTTTGTGTGTTTAAAAATCCTTGATAAAAAGATGGAGAGGATAAAATTACGTCAATGTGTCATGAAGAGCAAGTTTCTCTCTGTATTTGCAAAAACCCAGTGTCCCATCACAAGTAAAAAGAAAAGATCTGATTCAAGTAGTGATTAACCTAATACATCTCCACTCTTACAGTACCTGTTCCATTTTATTAAGAAAAGCATCAATAAAATCTCGAGGACAAGTGGGATCCAGGGTTTTCTGGTGTTCCATTACGATATCTGTTGTAAATTTATCAACTTTTTCAAAATTTTTTATCAGTCGTTGATGAGGTCCAGGTAGATAATCCATGACAGTTGGGAAAAAATTATATAGCTGTAAAAATAAAGGGATGAAAAAGCACATTCTGATTAATGTGAATAAACTAAAATGTTCCCCTGATTGTAACTATGAAAATGGGGCAGTTAATCTGTTTCGGAACAGTAGGTTTTTGTTACTCAGGATTTTATGGCCATTTACTTTATAGTTTGACTACATTCAGGGATTTGAATATTATAATAACTAACAAATATATTAAATAAAACCAGACGCACCTGTGCTTGTATAGCGGTTTGGAGCTTGTTGTTTTCCTCTATCCAATCAATTAAACTTAGAAAACTCTTGTCCTCATAGTCAAACCGATCCCCAAAGACGATGGAGCAGATGATGTTGGAAACAGCATGGATTAGGAAACCACTGGGGTTCAGAGGTTTCTCTGCAACAGCCATCAAAAAAAGGTATCTTGCTTTCAGTATTTTATGGATCAATCCCTCCTCTGACCCTACAAAGTAGTTTCACATTCTCTGGAGATCCAGAATTTTGCACTCCTTTGAAAGGACAGTGAAGGGCCTACCAACTTATTCTTGAGGTGAACTAATTTCACTCTTATAGTGGTTTATCTCTTCTGTCTTGTTCTCGGCAGAACACTGGTCTGAGTGCCTTTGTTGCTCTTCAGCTAGCACATGCCTGTCTGTCTTACAGACTGGTTATTAGAAACAGCCTAACATTCCCACAAAATCCCAATGAAACCATGGAGACTTTGCCTGAACCATTTCTTTAGGTTATTGCACTCTCATTAACTTTATTAGTGTAACCTCAGTTACATAACCCTCCCCTTAGCGTTCAAATGCCTGTGATCAAAGTCTAGTTTTGATAGCACAGCTGCATGACTCCTGTGTAGAGAATTATGGTGTAAGCAAAAAGCAAGATTAGACCAAAGAAAGAAAGGAAAGCTAATTGCAGACAGTGATAGGGTGCATCTCAAGGGTTCAAGATGAGAAACAATAACATGAAAAGGTACAAAATCCTGAAAGAAAACCACAGAGTGAGAAAATGTCAACTTGGTAGCAGACTATTCCACAGAGCAATAGCACCAGTTCTCTGTTTGACTGGTGACTCCATGGCCATTGAAGACTTAGTGGATATTTCAGAGGTGGTGAGTATATTAATGCTGAATGTAGAAGACACTAGTTATAGCTATTTATTAATTGCATTAAGGATAAATAATGGATTTATGCTTTTTGCTTGTATATATCTTGCTTATAAAACCTTTTAATACACAATAAAAAATGATGCAACAAGGTGAGCCAGAGTTAGAGGCTTGCATAAGGGCACAAGAAATATCGTATTACTGTGATAGTCAAAAGATAAAAGCAATGCAGGTGAGAGTGTTTTCCGTTTTATAAAACAAATGCTTATCTGAGAAGCCAGATTGAATTGTCTAGTGGCTCATATAAAACAGTGATGCTTAATCATTCTTTTAGATCTGTCTGCTTTCCCCCCTTGCAGAATAGGCACACATTGAGGGCTGGCAATGAAAAGGGTGGCTGATACTGTGCCACCCTCAGGGGACACATTTAGAAGTAACACTGACTTATATAGTACTAGAAAACACATTTACAGATTGGAAGCAAGTGGGTAACGTTATACCCTGCCCTCAGAAGCAGCTTATATACCTGTTCCCATTGGACAGCCCCATCAATACTGGGATCTATTGTCTTGTGTTCAGATGGACCCAATCCCAGATATCTGCAAATGAGTTCTCTGGCCACCTACTTCTTCAAGATCTGTTTACACAGAGTTGCAGGAGACAGGGTGAAGAAGAGCATACTTGATTACCTGAAGGCATCCAGCACTGTCTCCATGGCTGAATTACATCAGAGCCTTGGCTCTGTGGCAAAGCCATTCCTTTTGCCCCTTCCTGTCTTGCTCCTCAAGCACAATAGGTTAAAAGGTGCTTTCCAAGCCTCTCTCTCCTACTTTTATCCTCCATACTGTCACAGTACCTTTGACTGATAATTTTGCCTACTGATAATTTTACCTACAGAAGCAGGGAGCAGAAACAGCAGCCATACACCCACTCCTTGGGTCATAGATTTTGTGAAGCAGCCCTACACCCCTCATTGTCTAATTGCAGATATGCAGTGTCTCAACGGGCACAAAGTCCTTATCATACCATGTGTGTTCTTGAGCCTCTCCACCAGAAAATGAGCTTCCTCCTGGATTCGCTCCTCAATGCCCTTTTTCCCCATCCCAAAATCCCGCAGGGTGGTGAGTGCAAATCGTCTCAGCTGCTTCCAGGTCTCCCCATTGCTGGTCACAATGCCTGATACAGGGAGGAAAAACAGACCTTCATGATGAAACAGGGGTTTTTTCCCTTTAATGGGAGCAACACAGTAAGTACTGAGCATGCAAAGGCACCTCTCTGTGGAGTTACACTGCAATTGCTATCTGCCCCAAACCATAACTTCTCTGCAATTCTGAAGGTGACAAATTTGATCCATCTGTCACAGCCTTTGAATAAAACTGACTTTATTCCCAGGATAAGAAAAACTATGTTACAAAGTAAGTAAGAAGTAACACTGAATTGGTCTTGGACACAAGGCCTTTGCACTGACAGAACCACTCTAATGTTCTGCTGTGCACCTGCAATAGAACATATTATTATTGACAATACCAATGGTACTGCCCTGTATATATAACATCATGGAATATGTGCTGTAAAGGCCATACCAGGGAGTGACCTGGTGAATAATCTCATGACCTGATCTGGACTGTGACCCTTACTGGGTCAGCCTATATTATCTTATCTTGTTGTGCTGTGGATTTTCCTTTTGCTGATTCCTTAGCTGTGTCTATATTCAGAATATTTTCAGAAATGAGAGAATGAATGTAAGACCTTAGAGGCACATATAATGTACAAAATTTTAGCCAGAGCTTGGAGCACACTGGCAATAAAAAGGCACTCAGTGAAGCCATCCTGGGACTTTAAATAGTTCTCCAGGGGACCAGTTTGCTCAAGAGTTCAAGTAATGAGCTGGGTTTTTTGCCTTTAATTGCTGATTTGTCTGCATGAAAGTAGTAAATTAAATCTACCATGCCCTGCTGCACTGCCCTCTCAGCTGTGGTGGAGCTCTTTCTGAAGCTCTGAAAGCATCTGTTTTGCATGCTGGCATTACCAAGAACATACCTGTGCCTTGGAAGAGTTTTTTAATCAGTGGTAGAGAGCCTCTTCCACTGAAGTCATCTCCTTGATCAACCAGGGCTTCTTTTACCACATCATAGCCATACAGCACCACAACCTTTTGTGGGCCCAAATGTACCGTGAAGACAGGACCATACTTCTCACTGAGCTGCAGGAAAGGTGAGCACAATGAGCAACATCACAACACCAATGATAATCTTGTGACATTTGTAGCAAAGAGGTGATGTGTCATTGTCCCAACACTGTTGAGACATGACATTGATTAACAACAGTGCACTGATCTTTCAGTTATGAGTTATAGATGAAGGATGAGGGAAACATACAAGAAATAAGGAATATGAATGGAAATGGCAAGTATCCAGTCCAAATCTGAGAAAAGAAAATAGCCCTTCACAGGGCTGGCAAAACAGAATAGGTTTGTGCAGGGCATAGTGGATAGCAATTTACATGAGCTCTAAAATCAGTTACATAAACAACATGGAAGCAAATGCCTGAAGGATTTTTGACCACAAACAGTGAAACTGCCTCTTAAAGGGGTATTTTTGCCAGTCAAAGGAGGGAATGGACAGCACAATTCACCTCCAAACATTTTTACTTCAATTTTTGCACTTGCTACTTCCACTCCCAGGAGATCCTACGTATCTGCTAGGGAGCAGAGGCAGCAAAGTGGAGCAGGGCTCTCCCCCCCAAAAATGGCCAGGCTGTGTTGCTAGCGTGGTGAGGAATTAAGCACAGGAAGATCATACTGCAACAGCATCAATGCCTTGATTGCAAATCCACTGCAAATTGTAGTACTGTGGTACAAATTGTGAGGCCAGCACATAACGCATTTCACTATGGTCATTGCCAATATATAGACTGACTTATAATATATAGACATATATACATATTTATATATACACACCTGTAATATATAGGCTTAAAAATACAATAGATTACTGTGATTATATATAGACTTAATAAGCATGTATATCTGGGAAACCTTTTGTTTCTGTTTAACATTTGCTCAATGCAAATTAAACTTGTGAATTTAGCTGAGAACAGTGGGATTGGACTTTGTTTTATATGCCATGAAGAAAACATAGGAAAGAATAAGACAGTCCCTTACCTCTTTCAAGCTTTTAGGCAAATTCCATGGGTTTATCTGGAGCAGGTTTCCAACAATGGGGAATGCAGTGGGACCAGGAGGCTCCTTCCCTTTTTGAGATCTGCTTCTCCATGTGGCAAAGAGAAGGCAAGAGATGCAAACCAGCAACAAAATAGTTGTCACTCCCAGGGCCTCCATGGTGGGCTGAGGAAGTCAAGTGTCAGAAAAGCCCAGTGCTGGACTTGTAAATCCATGCTTATTTATATGCTGTGGTACCAAATCATGTGGTTGAAATTAGCCAATAGTGCCTTGCCATTCCTGTTAGAGATATGAGTTTACTTATTAATCTGCTAATGATAAGAATGAATGTTATTAAAGCTGACTTTGTTAGTTATGTAATAGTCCTAAAGCAATGGTAATTAAGACCTGGCAAAGCCCTGGTAGGGAAACAAGTAAACAAGGGATGAGAACGTGTAGAGAGCAGAAGATGGTAAAAACTGTAGCTTAAGAAGGGGAATAGAAGTATTAATGGAATAAAAAAAAAAAAAATAGCTTTCATAGCTTCATTACCTTAGGAAGTCTCTGTGTACTAAGACAGAGGCATGACATTACTCTTAAAGTAATCCTGAATGAGAATCTGCAGAAGAAGATTGGTTATCTCTGTTTATCTCTGATCTATGAAGCTGGCGTTCAAAGACAATGCAGTGGAAAATGCTGGCAAAAGAAATTAAGTGTGTCGAACACTTACAGAATATTCTGAGTTGGAAGAGACCAACAAGGATCATCTAGTCCAACTCTGAAGTGAATGGCCCCTACAGGGATCAAACACACAACCTTGACATTATTAGCACCATCTCTATCAGTTCAGCGAGGCTCTGTGTGAGTTCTCTGTAGCAAAATCTCTCTGGACAGTTCTGTTTGAAACAGCTGTCTCTCTTTTATTCTCCCTCCTCCCCCTCCCACCCTCCCCTCTGTTTTTGAGAAGCTTTATGTGCCACAGCCCCAGACCCCAGGCAGGGGATGCTCCCTGGGTAGGACTTGCCCCACAGGAGAGCCCTCACCTATCTCCCCACAGGCACTGGTCACACTCTGACCACTCTCCTGCTCTTTGCTTCAGACACTGGGTCTCTGTACAGCACCTACTGACAATGGATGAGCCTTAAATCGGTGTCAGTGTCCTCTGGCAGTGCCTGTTTCTCTTCACACACCAGGGAGGGAGCTCATCCAGACAACTAATGTCAGATTAGGGGTATCCCACCCAAACAACCATGTCAGGGACCATTTCAGTCAGAGAAACAGGTTCTTCCACCTGCCAAGACATTTCCCACCCCATTCCATCATTTGACATGTAGCCAAAATAATACTGACCCCTTAGATGCTGTGATGCTGGAAGGATATGTTAAAATGCATATAATCTTATATATCCTATACGTAAAAATACATATCCTATACATAAGAATATATATGGATCTTAATCTCTACTTTGTCTCCCTGATATAATGGAAAACAATTTGTCTTCCTGTGTGAACTTGTTGGCTTAGAACTTGAGTCCACATTTGTTCAATTAGTTTTTGAGTGTTCCTGTGCACAAGAATGGCCAGACATACTGTAAACACCACACTTTGTTCTCTACTGAGTTGTCAGAATGGGGTTTAAGGATGGGTACGTTTTATCTTTAGCCCAGTTAGCTGAGTACTAGCAGATTCTGCAATAGCGAGGAAAGAAACATATCCAGCTTAAATTTAGATATTAAAAAGGTGGATGTACAAATGAGCTGACAGTCTCACCTGTTAGTGGGGAAATAGTGATACTTCCAGAGAATAGGACATCTCACTTTTCTTATGAGTTTGTTTTTGTGAAATGAGCCAGTCACTGAAGAAGTTTGTTTTTCCTCACTACAAAGGAAGGCTCTGGAGGCATACAGATTTACATGTCTGTCTGCTAAGGATCTGTTTTGAGGCAGATGATTCTAATTCCCTGACCATTTCTCCTGGTCTCAATGGGTTTTTTTATCAGCAACAAATTCTACAAATTCTTGTGCAATGGGCATTACTTTGAATATTGCACGCCAGGGTATTTAAAACCAGCAGTGGGCAGATGAGTGAAATTGAAAGGAACCTTATAGGCTTTGGAGGGGTGATTATATTGCTGAAAACAGTCAGTTTTATTGTCATGAAGTAAAAACTCCTGTTGTTTGCTTTTTCTTTTCCTTTGCTTTTGTAGATAAAGTGCCTTGCATTCCTCTATTGGCAGCCCTGAGGGTGAACAACTGCTGTGAAGCCTAATGCACTGGAAAAGCAGAGCTTTGCTTGCAGCATCATCCCACATCCGGACATGGCTTTTTTATTATTTATCTAATTACTCACATAATCCCCAAAGGGTTTCAAAATGGTGTTGGGAATAAAGCCAGAGCTGCTTGGAGGAATCCATGAGTTTAACCGGGAAGAGATTTAACTGCCAAAGGTCTCGGGTCACCTCTGATGACAGAAAGACAGGGATTATTTGAGTGTGAAAGGCTATTTGAGTATGAAGGGTTTATCTGGGTCTGAAAGACCCATCCTCATATAGTTCACATTCAGAGGAAGCACTTAAGAGACTCTGTTATCTTCCAAGCCTTCTTCCCAGTGTGGTAGGAAAGCAGATGCTGGGGCCTCTGGTCTTGTTACAAATTGGCACCATTCTCTGGCTCCACCTGTGAATTCAAGCTCAAATTGACAGGGTGGGATGCTGCTGTATGAACCAGTGTTTCAAATTCCAGGCCTTCCTTAGAATGCCTTCTGGAAGCTGCTGCTTTGCTGGGCCTGCCGAGTGGCATGCATGGGCCAACTCCTAGGACTCCATCCTGTGTTTACACGTAGCCTTTCATCTGGGACCTGCACTTAATCAGCTTCTGTTGACCTCCAGATTAGGTCTGTGAGAAAACAGACACCTTTTTCTCCCCAGGACAGCCCCTACAGGTGTATTCCCAGCCTGCTCAGGCATACTGGATCTGGCTCCCTCACAGCAGCCAGCATGGTGCCACAGTTCAGATTTGTGACCGTGGAGAGGACACAGCAGTGCTTTAGCTGCTGCTGAACAATGCTTGCACTGCGCTGAGGCTTTGCTGGTTGCTTCCTTTGTCCCCAGCCCAAGCAGCAGGGTGGGGGATAGCAAGGGATTGGGAGTGGACACTGCTTGGACAACAATCCAAACTGCCCTAAGAGATAATCCATGTCTAACATCACACTCCGCAATGAAAACTGGGGAATTGCCTCTCCAGTGCAGCCATTGTTCAGAGACTGAGTGATCATGAGCCTTTTGGTGGTGAGTCTTTGCATCACTTGTTTATTTTTTTCTCTCTCTGTTTAACTGTCTTTATCTTGACCAGGAAATGTTATCAATTTTGTTTTTCCAGGTTGCTCCCTCATCCTGTTAGAGAGAAACGTGGAGTTTGCACAGTGGAAAGCTGGGTACAAACTATTAGCTAGTGTCTATTCCATGGCATCCAGGCACAAATAAATGTAGCAACTTTTGGTATTTGTTCCTTTCTGTATTTTCAAATAGGCCAAAGGAGGTGGCTTTTCACACACTATGCCCTTGGGCTGTGGAACACAATTTTTCAAGACATATGTGTCCAAAAAGTAACCAGGCCAATTCATGAGAGCAAAAATCCATTGAGAGTGCTCAAACACAGAGATACCACTGATAGCTCAGGAAGCACTGGTGACTGAAGCAGTCTGAAAGAATATTCCTCTGTGGTAGCCACGTTTGGTTTTATTCTGTTCCTTGGGAATGAATTTTTAAGTTAATGTTGGAATTGGACAGAATTCTGGGCTGCCTTGACTATTGTCATGATCCAGCTCATCCATCCTTGGGTTTCTATGTCCTTACACTAAAATGTGACACTTCACTAAGCATTTCCATTGAGATGGCTTAACCCCAGCTGACAACTGAGCCACTTACCACTCTTTCCACTCTCTCTCTCCAGCAGGATAGAGGGGAAGAGAACCGGAACACTACAAGTGAGAAAACTCATGGGTTGACTTGAGAATATTTTGATAATTGAAATAAATAATTATGATGATGACAATGAAGACAAACTTATGAAAATTAAACTTAAGAAAGACAAGTAATGGAAACTAAAAACAATTGCTCACTACCAACCAATTGATGCCCAGCCACTGCTGGGCAGTGGCCCCCAGCCTATTTCTCTCTAGTTTAAGCATTGAGCATGTTGCATATGTATGAAATATCCCTTTGAACAGTTGGGATCAGCTGTCCCAGCTGTGTCTCCTCACAACCTCTTGTGCTACCCCAACATATTTGCTGACTGGGTGGTAGGAGAAATTAGAAAATACCTTGAGGCTGTGCAAGCACTGCTGAAAAATCACTAAATCATGCCTGAATTATTAACACTGTTTCCAGCACAAATCAAAAACATGGCCCTGTACCAGCTACTATGGAGAAAATTAACTCTACCCATCCAAAACCAGGATGGCAAGCTGGCAGAGTGGTCTGTGGAAATCATCTTGCCTGTTCTGCTGCAAATAGCAACATCTTAGCTACTAAACTTTTACTGTTTTCAGACAGGACTTTCCTTAGTGCCATGTAGAAAATCCAATATCTACCTCTGCCTTATTTCTGGCAGTAATTTGGCAAAGAATCTGCCATGGTCAGCAAGTATTAAGGTTCAGTGATATCTTCAGTATTCAACAATTTATAACACCCATATTTGTAAGATGCTACACGTTGTACTACAGATAAGATACAAACCACATAGTTTGTTTTCAGATCACAGAAATTACATTTGACCAGCTAGATAAAAAAATTTGGTTAAATATTTATGTATGAACTCACTAGACCCAAAACATAGCTGAAAAAGGATGAAGTTCATGAAGTTCACTGCAATGAAGTCAATGAAGTTCACTGCAATGAAGTCAATGAAGTTCACTGCAACCGAGTCAATGAAGTTCATTGCAATGAAGTCCTTTGCAATACATGGCAAACTGCTTTTCAGTAATCAGAAGGGCAAGGAAATGAAGCTCGTAACAGCCTTTCCACTGGACCTGTACTGTGATTCCACCAACAGCAAGTCTCTATGTGGCTGCTATACCAAATCATCTCTCAGTAAGGTGCTTAGTTCCAGACTGTGATCAGCATAAAGAAAGAACAGGCACTTCCCCAAGTCAGGAAAAAAAGAGTCAGGAAATGGGAAAAGTCAGTCAGGTGCTATACACACTAAAAAGAGGCACAGAAGTGAAAGCTGCCAGTTTCAAAGAGGGTGTCTGAGCTTGGCAGATTTCCTGAGAGTGCTGCACTCAGCTACCTGCATGAACAGCTGAGCTCCTGCTGACCAGCTGCAGAACCACTGGGGTACAGCAGCTCATGCAAAGGGTCTGTGCTCTAGGAGACAAAGCAAAGGGGCAACATTGTCACTGTCCCCAGCTGTAACACTGTCATCACGGGGCACCGTGCCCACCCCGCCTTTCCAAAGGTTGGCCAGGGATCTGCAGCACAAACAAGGTCTGAGCACAGAGCTGCCCAAACTCTAGCTAGGGCCTTAACTAGAGACGTTCTGCAACTTTAGAAAATTACTTATCATCATCACAAAAAATCAGGCAAGCACATAGTTTGCTGGTAGTCTGTATGCTCTGAAAACAGTGCATATCATAAAGAAATATGGTAACAGAAAATCTCACCAAATAATTTAAAATTCAAGAAGAATTCAGTAATCATCAAGTAACAAAACCTTTGTTAACATTCCATGATATCAAATAACTACAGTCATAATGGAAACAGATGATAAATCAGGCATTTAAAACACAAAAAAACCAGCAACTGGTGCTGACACCAAGTGATAAAATGTATGCCTTCATCATGCCTTTCAGTCCTGCCAGAGACAGATGCACAGAGGTAACAGAGTGGCTTGAGAACATGAAAGAGGAAATGAAAGAAACACAACAACCCCAAGAAGTGATCCCAAAAAAGGGCCCATGTAAAAACTCTCCTGCTTCACGTGTCATCCCTGTTTCCCTCAAGTGTGAAAGTGGCTGTTCCCCCCTCCCAACCACTGCCTTCTTCTACACATATCACCTCCTCTGGAAATGGTGATGACTAATGCATGCTCTTTCATATACATGAAAGATGCCCCCTGTCTTTTTTCATTTTTTTGGAATAGTAAAAAAGGAGCACATTAACTATGATGTATTTTCCCACTTCAGAGCTGTGAAGTATATGATATTTCAATGAAAAATTGTCAGGAAAAAAAAATCTTCCTTCTTTCTCTGTGACTTTCAGATAAAATTATTAATTGAAGTAAATATCCCAGTAGGGCTATGGCAAAAGATGCAGAGTGATCCACATGTGGTACTGTACAAAACATTCTCTTAGTATTCAACAGCTCAGATGACACAGCTGCTAAAAGCAAAACAAACATTGCACAGTTTATCTACTGTTTCACAAGGACTTGGCACAAAAGATATTTGATTTATCAGTGCAAATAAGTTGGTTAAATGTTTCTTAATGAACTCAGTTAATCCAGGCATGACCTGGAAGGTTCCAACGTCAGAATTTGTAACTAGATTTCACTGAAAATTAAATTCCATGACCTCTTTCAGTGTTCCCTTACCTTTTTCATTGCACCTTTCATGTAAGGTACATTGACTCATTGGAAAAGAGCTATTAAGGATGGATTATTATTTTTACTTGATCCGGGTGTAACTACCTACCTGGGGTAAATCATGTGATGGCAAAGGCCTGCCTAGGCAGAAAATCATCAGGTCAAGCCTTAGAAGTAGGTCCTGAACTTTGAATGTCTCACAGACTGCGTACAAAATCATTCTGCTGTGGAGTTAGACAATGAATATTCCTTTTCTGACGTTTCCATGCCTGCTTTCAGAGATAAGATGATTGACCTTTCTCTCCCTGCTTTGCTCTGACCATTCTTTTTGCAAGGGTTCTGCACAAACACAGACTTTATAAAATGAGCAAACTTAAACTTGATGTTTTCTATAATCTCTTGTGCCTGCCATCACACACACTAATGCTCAGGCACTTGTTGCTATCAAAAGAAGCACAAAGAGAGTGGCAGATTTCATTTGCAAAATTCTGGAGATGCAGGTAGAGACAGAGATGAGGGACTGACTGGTTGGTGACATGATGTGCCTGAGAGCTCTCCTGCAGTCACAGAGCTGTGGTAGCCCCAGGGGCCCCACACTGGTACCTCATGGCCACATTGCTGCTGTGGAACTGCCTTTACCACCACGGGGCTCTCCTTGTACCACCTGGCTCCAGGAACTGCTGCTCTGGTGTCTCTGCAGTGGCTGAGAAAGGAAGAGAGTCTTTTGTGTGGCTGCAGCTGGATGAAGTGCTGGGACAACTTCAGCAAATGTCATCAACATGTTTTATGATCTCAGATAATGGAACCTGTTGACTATTCATCAAGAAAAAATGCTATACCCACCCAAGGCATGGGAATGGAGTCTACACAAAATGACTGAGTGTTTCTATACTCATAACCACTGAGTGAGGGGCACAGTCAATAGCAGTCAGTCATGTAAAGCCATGACTATGTGATTAAAACTAGAAAAATCACTGTAGCAGGGGAATGTCACACATGCCCAGGTGAAAACATAAGCTCCTGGAAAATCTGAATCTGAACTCAGTGCTGATTCCAGAGGAAAGCAGACCAGCAGGGATCATTAGGGACAGCTGCCCAAATTGCTGAGATGTAAAGAAATGGGACCTTAGTGCTCCCAGAAGTAAAACTCTATCAAAGAGGAAAATCCTATCTCCATGCTCACACATACTCTCTTAGAAATCTCACAGTGAGATGCCAGAGCACTCTGCTTACCAGGTGGTAAATATTAACAGTGTTGGCAAAGAACAAGAAATGTTTCTAAAAAATATTACTGCAGTCGAGCAGCAGCAGAGGGCACCAGTGACAAGAACATCTGACTGCTTCAGAGTCCAGAGCCAGGGCAGTCCCCACAGGGCCCCTTGGAGGTTCCAGCAGTTCTCCAGAACTCTCCTTTGCATCTCTGCAGGGCGGCTTCACTTCTGGTGTTTCAGCTTCTCTTGCTGCTCAGCTTTGGGCAGTGCTTCAGTTTCACTCATCTCTCATGATCCTTGTCCTAACTCCTCCCTGTGTGATCCTCACCTATGCCATGACCATTCCCACTCCAAGCTTGTGCTCTGAGCCCCCTCACCATCCTTCCCTCTTTGCTTCAGGTGCCCTGCCCCACACGAAAGGGGTCACACCACAGGTACCTGTCCCTGGCTGCCCCACACCCTGTGGTGCTTCCCCAGGGATGTGCCTGCCCCATGACTACCCCTCCAGGAATTCCAGCACTCCTTCCCATCCTCCACAAGGACACCCACCTGGAATTTGACAGGTCATGGCCACTGTGACCCTCCTTTCATAAATCTGTCATAAAACACTCTAGAAAATTCTGATCTCATCGTTTTGCTATGAAGAGAGTGTTTCCTTTCCTCAGCCTTCCCAATGACCTCCCAGAGCACAGCAAACCAGCTAAACACAGTCACAAAGCTGCTTCCAAACCAAACCAAACCAAACCAAACCAAACCAAACCAAACCAAACCAAACCAAACCAAACCAAACCAAACCAAACCACCTTCCACCTGAAACCAGCTGGGTTCCAGGACTGCAAGAGAATGGCAGTGACAACCCACAGTATTAAGGCATGCGGTTTGGATCAGGGTTCACATCATACTTGTGTCAGGTATTTCTCTGGTTTTCTTCACTGGCTCACATCCAGACCCTTGGAAGTCAAACTCTCCCACAGCTGCATCACATCTGCCCTCTGCCACCTTCCCTCCAGGTCTGAATGCACAGCTGTCCCTGGCAGTGCTCCATGCATGGGAGGTCAGGCCACAGGCACTGCATGCCTGGGACACAGAGAGCTGACAAAGCTCTCACAGATCCTCCTGCTGTCCTCAAAGCACAGGGGCACAGGGAAGCAGTGTATGATTTCTTTTACTGCCAGTGTGTTCTCATGTTCTCAGTCTGTAAAGGGCATCCTGGTCGTATAGCTCAATCGGGGTGACACCAACTCACACAAGCAGCTATGAGTTATTTTCAGAGCCTGAAAATCAACACTGTTAGTGCAAGATGCTGTCATATTTATGAAGAAAAGGGCAGAATTTGAATCTTACCTGTTATGGCAATACAGAGTCAAGGTCCTCCTTCAAAAACCTTGGTGAAAGCCAGCGACTTTAAAGGAAGAACAGGAGAATTGCACTCTTTGCAATGAAAAAAAGTTGCATTTACTGGTCCTATGAATTTAATTAGCTATGTGAATGACTGAAGAGTAAAAAGAGTAAAAGAACAGTATGGTGATTTAACTTTGCATCAGGAACAAACAAGTGACATTTTTCAGCTTTAAGTGGCCCAAGATTTGGAAAGCAAAAATACATCCAAAATATATTCTGAAATGTTATTGGCCTAAGAAGATTTGGTGCGAAAATACCATTCATTACTTGTACCATGCATATTACTAACAGGAAACTTGGTTTTACGTACACTTTTTTCCCCAGTGAATTTACTCATAGTGAAAACATTTATTGTGGAAGGCCTAGAGACAGATAAACTTTGGCAAATCAAACAAGACCAAACAAAACCACAAAATATCACAGAAAAACTGCAGATATATAACTGCACTCACTAAATTTTTTCCAGTTGTTCAAGGATTTTTCCTTATTCTGCTGACTCATCTAAACTGTGTTTACCTGTTAAAATGTGCATTTATAAATGATAAAACCATAAGCTAATGTAGTTTGACATGACCATCTCTACAGAACAATGGATTTTTGCTTGTTAGACTGCCAGCATAATCCTTCAAGATTCAGCCAGACTGAGTTAAAAAATGATAAATCAATCACCAGTCCTCCTTATTTGAATTTTTCTCTCTTTAGCTGATGGTTCTTGACATGATTTTGATTGCAACATTTAAGTGATTCTATTGATAAAGCAGATAAAGTTTTAAAAGAGATAAAGTGATATGAAACCAAACCAAAGCACTGTCCCACTCAACAGTGAAGCTTTCATGCTTCACTGGCAGAATGTTGTGTGAATCACTTTTCTTGAAGTTGCCTGAAGAAACAGCCAGGCAAACATACCAGTAACCCTAATTCTCTTCATATATGTACAAGCTGTATGCTGACATATGGGCATAGATGTCCAAAAAGTTGTTCCTAATTTATTCCTCATTGCTTTTAATCAGTCTTTAGATTTTTAAATAAAGTGTGTTTAACTGTCTACCAGTGCCAAGTCACACATGGCTCTTGCAAAAGTCTCCCCAGTAACTTGTTCAGAGCAATATCTCACAAAAGAACAAACTCCCTCCTCCTCTCTATGGTGCTCCCATTTCCAGCACAGCATGTGCCAAAGGTAAAGGAAATGTGAACAGGGAAGTTCAGCCCAGTGAGGTTGCACTGCATGCTTCTGAAACCAGCTGAAGCCTTCAGACAACAACCTGCTTGTGACACCTTTCATTCTTGTTTTCATATATTTTTATTATTATTGTATTTATATATTATTCAAGAAGCAACTGGAAAACATTGTCATGCATGTGGTGTGACTCACAGGGCTGTTCCATGCAGGGCCAGGACTTGGACTCAGTGAGCCTTGTGGGATCCTAACAACTCAGGGTATTCTATAATACTATGATTCACATAATTTCTGAGGTCTTTCAGGAACTGATTTCACAAGATGTCAGTGTTTATAAAGTCTTGAATTCGTGGTGTTGACCCTCAGATGTGGTCAGTCCCACAGTCTCCTTGGGCAGTTTTCCACACACTGGGTCAGATGTTGAAGCACAGATTCCCCTTTCATGATTGGTAACACCTGTTCTGGGAGATTTTTCACATAAACAGAGCCAAGAACCTTTATCCAGAACTCATCCAAACTGTGGGTGAGCTGCTAGCTTATTCCCAAACTTTTTAGATTTCCACCTGTACAACTCCCAAAAACCTTATGGAAAGACATTTTGTCATTAGCTTCTTCGATCAATTTGTACATATCAATGTGATACATTACTTCAGCAAAGCCTCAGACCTTCCTGTGGATCACCCAAATGCAGCTCAAATCTTCTCTGTCCCTGCTCTCTTCAGACCCTCTGCTCCCAGTACATGGATTTTGCAAAGCCTCCTGCATCCTTACTAAATCTGTTGATTTCCTTTTGAGACACAAGTACTGTTGAGAAAGTTTTCTTTCCAGAAACATTTCTCATGCATGATTTAAGAGAACTACTAATACCCTTTCTGTCAAGATGGCCCTGTAAAACAAAAGGAGAAGAAACATAACTAAATCTTGGCCAGGCTTATTGATTATTTCTACTCACTTCCATCTATGCAGACAGAAGTACCAGCACCCCCACTTTTAAATCATGTAGCGCTCATTAGCCTTTGAGATATAATGATGCCAGAAAAATGATGTTCCAGTAGCACAGCTCCTGGGAAGGAGAAGGCTTCCAGATGGCCTTCTATTCCCCAAACAAGAAAAGCCTGCTGTGAAATGCTGCTGCTGAAACAGCTTTCATATACTGATACAACCCAGGCTTAAGTAGGATTCCAGTGGTGTAAATTCATTGCTTTTAGGTTAAAATGTAAAAACCCCATTTTTCTTCATGCCAAAATTGCATCTGATTTTATGCAGCCCACTATGAAGCCCTGTTAATGAGTATGTTTAAGATGGGTCAAATGCAGTGGCCAAGTGGAAATCGGGCAACACTTACACAGTCCCACACACACAGCAGGGTAGGGAGTCTGCCTCTGACCTGTTGTTTCCACAGGGCCAGGCAAACCAGATCTGCTTATTTCAGGCCTGACCAAACACAGCTCTTCTACCATTTGAAGCTCAGCAGTGACCAGGCAAGCACCAGACAAAGCCAGACTGTTCAAAGCTTTACACAAACACTTTGTGATACCTGATCATCAGCATATCAGGCTGGCTTTGTCACCATGCATGTCTGCTTGTCAGTAAACATGTCAGTAAACATGTCATCAGACAGATTATCCTACAATTATTAGGATAGTGGTTAATGCTGGTTATTGATGGCTGCTGAAGATTGATGGCTGCTAACCATTAGTAGATATGAGTGGCAGCAGACAGCGCCACAGATCACTGCTCTCAAGACCATGCAAAAAAGATTTTTATAAAGTTGGCAGATCTGAAAAGTTACCAACCAGCTTTGACAATGACCCCTATAGTATTTTCATCACAGATGAGTGAGAACTGGCTTATTATGTCCTGTAGCTTGTCTAGATCTGACCCTAGAACCAGAAAGAAAATAAAGGTTGGAGTCTTTATTTGACACTGCCCGAGGGCAGAAATAGAGCTCCCCTTGCTGTCATGACTGCAGTATCTTCGAGACAAATGGTATGACTCAACTTATTGGTGAAATGAAACAAAACATCCATCTGAGAGCAGCAGGCTGTAACCAAAGCACGTTGCATATAAAGTATCTACAGCCACTTAAATGAGATGAGAACCATCCAGTGCTTTAGCTCCCCCAGAGACAGAGGCTCTTACACTGCTGTACTCCCACAGAGACAAAAGGGCTCAGAGGCTCCCAAGTCTGCAGAAGGCCAGCACACCCCTTGCCTATGGGGATTTCTCCTCAAGGGATCCTGAAAAGGCAGCAAGGGGAGAGGGAGGTTGACAGCTGTTAGATTGCACATGACATTAGTGACTTCATGCATGTGAGGGAGGTGCTCAGACAAGGTACTGGACAGTGAAGGAGGAGCTCTACAAATAAGCACCAAGTTGGGAAAGAAATGGTTCTCCAGTGTCCTGTATTAAAGCATGTTCCCAGTTTAATTCCCACTGCTGTCACAGACTCTGGCAACTGCACTGAGTTTAAGGCTTTCCTCTGCTGTATCTTGCACAGCTCCACAGAATGGGCTGGCCAGGCTCCCCAGATACCTCTGCTGTGTTCTGCTCTATGCAGGTAGCCAAAAGCCGGAATTAAAATCAGAGCAAACCCTGATTAAGTTAAATACAAGTTAAATATTTCTAGCATTGGATGATAGAACTCTCCATGGCAGGGGGTTGAAGTAGATGATCTTCAAGGTCTCTTCCAACTCAAACTGCTCTATGATTCTACAATAACTCAGCTGTGTAATTAGAGATTGAGCCTAATCACCAAGTACTGGACTTTAAACACTGCAAATCTAAAGTTAAAAGGCTGCTGGATATACAGTATGCTGAATTTGAAGTTCGACAGGGATCTACTGAAGTCCACTCAACTCTTAGATGGAAATATTTGAACAACTCACTTAATATTTCTTTTACTCCCTGAAGGTATTGCCCACTGCTTGCAAATGTGCAAATAGGAAATTTCTTCAGTAATGCAGACAATTTGCTCTGTGGTTTGTGACAAAAATCTACAGAAAAAGTGCAGATACCTAGCTGCAAGCACGAGGAAATGCAGCCTATGAAATAATGACTGAAATAGCCATTTAATCATCATTGTAATCTGCCCACACACTGTGCACACAGTGGTAACAGATAAGAGGTTTAAAGTAAGTCTTACAGCAAAAGACCCAGGAAATTATTCAGTTTATCAAAAGAAAGGGGAAGCATGCAGTAGGGAACATGGTCAGAGAAGGATTTGCAGTCACACAAGGCTGCTGCAAGAAGCGTGCCATCTGTTGCAAGATGTGAAGCTAGAATGCACACTGAACTAGAAACACAGCATTTATCTTTCACAGTATGAGGGATGCACCAGTGAGACAAGTGTCTCAAGCACCAGGGTGAATCATGTTTTGGTGCATGGTGAGTGGATGTGTTCACAGATGATTCCTAGATCAAGCACCCCTGTATTGAATTTGGAGAGGGAAATGCTTCAGAGAAATCCAAATGCCTGTGCTATGGTGAGATCAGTCTAAGCAATCAAACCCTCATCTTCTGGCCATAAAAACCCATGATTCAGTTAACCTCTAAATGTACCAGCTGCATCAGATTGTGCAATATTTATGCCTTTTTATAGTATAAATAAAGCAAACTATGCCCTGCTGATGCTATCTCAGTGTGTGTGATTTCTTCCAGGATACCATGTTGCTATTACTGTAGCAGGAGCTGGTTGAAGCTTGCTAGTTAGAAATACATCTCTGGGGGGTTATTTTATGTTCTGCTCAACACACAACAACAGAGCAAGTAATTCTGAGCAACCAAGCCTGAACTTGTTCCCTCTCTAGAAGGATGAAACTATCATGCTTCAGATACACAGCTTTCTCACAGTCTCTCTGTAAAGGAAGAACCTCAAATCAGAGTTGATCTACTGAATTTAATTGCTCTTGTTCCTTTTTCCCACATGTAAAATGGGGATTGATGGGAAAAGGGTAGCTTACTTCATATGGAATGACTAAGAAATATGAGGGCTTTGTTTTTGGGGCAGTGAGAATCACATTATTGCAAGGTTTGTCTGGGGGATGGGAAAGGGACAATCCTACAAAAAGTAGTTTGTAGAGTTAAATTCACCCTGCAAAAAGAGGAAAGCACGTTCAGGTATGCTGGCAGGACTTCCTGGAACTAGTTCAATCTTTCAGCCGGTTGAGAATCACTGCAGCTGATCTTTCAGCACGGGGACTGAGTTGAAGAGACAGGCTACATTCCCTTGGATTGGCAGCAGCAGCAGCCAAGCCACGAACTACTGACTGTCACACCTGGGCACAGCTGGGGCCAGGCACATCCAGCTCCAATGCCTGCCACAAGCTGAGTGCACGGCACTCCAGACAGAGCTGGTACTTTCATTTCCACCTAGGAGGGCACCTGCAGGTGGGTGCTGTACCCTAGCACCATGACTTTAGGAGACAGCTCTAAGATTTGGGGAAGGAACCCATGGCCTGTGCACAGGAAGGTGACTTTCTGAGAGATGGAGATAAGCTGAAAATGGAGCTGAGAGTGGGACAGCAACATGTACAGCCAGGCCCCCTGGAAGAGTAAGCACTTCACTATTTGCAGGTATCTGCTTCTTTCCTGTGTCAGTAATAGTTTTAACCTGTTTACCTCTTTCCACAGCCTTTCCTGCCATTGAATCAGATGCTAATGCCAGTTTTCAAAGCTATGCATTTAATTCCCCAAACCTCCCCTCAACTGTACTTGTGTCCCAGGTCCACAGGCCACAGCAGAGTGCACAGGTGTGAGAGAACATCCACCAGTCTCCTTCCATATTTTGTTTTCTAAAAAATACTTGACTATGCAAATCATTATCAAATGAAAGCTGAAGCCAGAGGACATTCTCTGTACTTAGTAAGAAGACAAAATTTGGAGCTAGCACGCTGGATATATTGCATCAGCTTGTTGCATTTAAGTTGCACTTTTCTGTTTTCGAGGCAGGGAGCTCACAAGGTGTCTCTGATTCCTTGGTCCTATTCCTTGTTGCTTTACTCTGCTTCTACACTCATCAACTCTCATGGGCTGCAGCGAGAAGATGATGCATAAACCATAAGTGTACTACTCAATAATAGAAAATGGTTTTACCTTCCACATTTTTCTTGAAGTCTTTGGCTGAGGGGGGAAAAAACAGGAATCAGTCTACTGTAAAGGGTCTAAAATCAGTTTTCACACCTGTTTCATATGAAAGGGTGTATATTTTAGTAGTAATATTTTCCAAATTACACATGAATGATAGAAATAACTGTATTTCTCAATTACATAAAAATAACTGAATTTCTCAATTACATAAGCTTCATTTCTCTACACAGCACATTCTGTTTATTCCTACAAGGTTTTCAAGACATATAGCATTAGATGCTGAATTAGGAAATAGAAGTTGGATGTTCAATTTTGTTTAATTAGCACAAGGAACTTTCTTATCTATTGAGTAATCACACTGCATGCTGGCAGATCAAGTACAAGGAACAAATTCTCAGAAAAATAACCCCAAATTCTGATCAGCAAAACCACAACTTAAATTTCACAAACCACAATTTTGGTTTTTTTTCAGTGGCTTTCTCAACTTTTACCAGAACCCAAGTGTTTGAACATAAACACCTCTACACAAAACAGACAAAATTCAGTGGTTTATAACTAAGATGGAACATGCCAGTTATGCTTAATTGGCCAAATCTTAAGATTCCTCTTAGAAGCTGTCAGTTGAGTCTTCTCCACAAATTTTTCCATTATGCAAAGTAGCTTCTTCATTCCCCACAAAACAGAAGAATCTGTCCACAAACCCCACAGCCTCAGCAATGAAACAAACTGAGCATAGGTCTGTACTTGCCAGCACTGCCTTAAGTAGAACATTTGTCCCTACATGTGAATGGCATCAAACTCTGCTGGCAGAGGCTAAAACAAACCCTCCTAGCTTCATGTAGAAAATACTTAGGTTTAGGATGGTACAAAATTTTCATCTCCTTTGAGATGTCATCTCACATGAACTCGGTAAGAAAGCAATAAAACCCCATCAGCTATGTCAAAAAAATTTCCTGCTTCTACTTTCATCCTGATTAGGATATTCATGATGGTAGTGAAAATACTTCACATTAATCAGATTCAAAACAATACATAAACTTTAAATGTTATTTTTTTTATGTCACCAGAGTCACCTATTAAAAACAGGAAGGATTTTAAAATGTGACTTGCTTATTGCTCATGATCCTATTTCCACTGAGTAAGTGAATCTGTGATTACATTGTTTTGACAAGGAGAGGGAAAGATAACAAGTCTATTGATTCTAAGATTAGTTTAAAAATCCTGGAAAAATAAACTTGTAACAAATCTGACCTAGAGGGTTGTCAGTTAGATTTTGTTTACAAGATTGGTCATAACCAAATTTATTTTGAAAGTTCAAACAGACTTCAGCAAGCTCTGATGGAGACGGTGGGTTTCTTACCCATTTCTGAAAAGCTAATTGAAGAAGCATATAACAGAAAAACAGCATTAGCTTTACAGGCCTTCAAACTCTCCTGGCTAAGTGCTCAGACAGCAACACTGTTGGGAATACGATCTGGGGAGAGGTAGTAGTAAGGGAGCTTCTTGTTCTTGTTGCGCTCGGTGATGGCGCTGACAATCTCATCCAGGTTCTTGCGGAATTTTGCCATAGCCTCTTTCACTGGCTTCTCCACGAAGTGTTCATCTGGGTACATGCCCAGAAACAGCTGATTGAAAAACACCAAGAAACCAGGCTTTGAGAAAGCAAAGGCAATTAGTTTTCAGTATTACACCATTTGGCAGGACACCACCCAGAGCCTCTCCTCACAAATGCTTCTATTTAAACTAGCCTACACCTTCCCTCTATTGCTGGCTGCTTCTTTCCATCCCTGCATCATTCTGTGGTGTGGTTCAGGTGTCTGCATGGCACTCCTTGACCTAAAGAGACCTCATCCACTGAAAATCATGCACTTTTATTCAGGCAGTAGTCAGTCCAATGAGCCTCCTAAGCCAGATCTCTGTATAGCCACCCAAACATTTATGCTGCTAGAAAAAAGGATAGCATTAGAGGGGAATTCCCAGCCAGAGGCTGAAAAGGAAAATGACTACCTCATTCAGTGACAGTGGAAGATTCTATTGACTTCAAACTGTCCTTCAGTTTGAAGTCAATTCAAACTCTGTCCTTCGATTCTGTCCTTCAGAATTCATACGACAGCTGCTTTAGTCAGCTTGGACTCTGAGAGTGCTCTGAAAAGTGCACAGCCAAGATGCAGACTGGCATTGCTTTGGGCTCTTTGGAAACTATTTCCCACAGTACAAGCTTCTCTGCTAATACTGCCTTCTTACAGAGAAACTGAATTTAAAGTACCCTCTGTCCATCATCCTCTATTTAAAAATTTCAAAACACATTCTCCAGAGCCCTTGTGTGAAACAACCAGGTACCTACAACCTCATTTTACATGAGGGAAATGGCTACAGACCTGTAGCCACGCATGGCTTTACATGCCTGCAAAGCCTTCTGTAGTCTTGTTTTGTTTTCCCTCCTCACCTGCCAGGCACGAGCCACAGCTGTAGTGCACATGGCACTGGAGCAGATTTTCCAAAGGAACAGGACATGGGGGACACAGCACTGCTGTACCTACTTCCCCAGCACTGCAGCCTTATGCCTCTGCAGCCCTCTGCCTCCCACACCAGCATCCTTCTTAAGCAATGCCATGCTCAAGCTTAAAAACTTTGATTATAGCTGAGACAGCCTCAGCGTAAAAATACAACTTCTTTCTCTGTTTTTGCACCTGGCTGGTTTGCACCTGGCAGAACTCAGGCAAACCCACAGCACTGACACATCTCCACAGAAAGGTGAAAATGGCCAAGTCAAGCACAGGGCAGCAGAACAGTCTCCTGAGTCTGTGCAGTCTCGCCGTCGCCCTCATGGTCTCACATCTCCAGCACCTAGAGCAGGGGGGTTGACTTACTTCTTTGTCCTGGAATTGGCTCAAGGCCCAGACAGCTCCAAGATGCCAACAGGAACGTCCCCTGTCTGGCAGACTCTCCACAATCTGCTCGATGGTGACGGTGCCCTTTTCTGTAGGGGGAGGGCAGCGCATTGTTGGTGGGGCGTTGGGAATCCACGAGCACCAGTCATACTGCACAGAGAGCAGGAGAGCACAGTGAGAACCTGCAGGGGCTGGTGCTTAGCAACACACCAAAGAAAAGCAGGAGTTTGCCAGCAGGGACTTTGCTTCTGTAATAGGAGCCCCTCAGAAAGAGACAACTCTAATGACAGAAAAGTTCTATAGAGGGACTGGAGGAGACAAGGAAGTCCCTACTGCTTTGCCCAGGAACTCACAAGAGAGAGAGTTGGGTAATCTAAATGGGAGAATTTATTCTGCTAACCACAGGCATGTGCCTCACAGCCCAGATTCAGCAGACTGGCTAAGGCCTTAAATATTTTATTAAACAAAGTTCCCTTCTGATAACCTCAGGCGATCACCTTTACTCTAGCTTCTCTTTTATGCTAAATTTCTTCCAAGAACATGCCCACAGCGAATGCCCATGTGCTCAGATACTAACAGAGATAAAGCATGCTGGTTCACCAAGAAATATGGACTATGGCACGTAGATATGGCTATGGTGAGCAGCAGACTGGGAACTCATAGTCACTGCTGGCCTGGTTCAGTGCAGTGAGATGCCGCTGTCTCATTTTGCCTCAGATATGACCCTGAGTTTTGCCACCATCTAAGATGCTGCAGTTACCAGAACCCTTTCTATCCCAAGCACTTTTTCATTACCTTCTCTGCCCTGCTCTGCCTGAGGGGAAGTGCACAGCCACCTCCTCCTCCCCTCAGCCCTCTCTGCCTTTTCCTTCCATGCCTGAAGATGCTTTTACTGATGGGCTGCATATCCTCTGTATGCCAAATTAAGAGATGGTTTCTTGGTGGTACTTGAACAGTCAGGATTTTCTGAGGGGGGCACTGGGAGTTGTCTCAATCAGTTCTAAAGATAAGTTAGAAGGGAACAGTTGCAGAGGTCCCTGATTATGGACATGCCACAGCAGTAATGTGAGCTCATTGGACACCAGGTTCCAGACTTCTCTAGGGCTCCTGAGCTGCAGGGGTGGACAGGAGGGTCAGCATAAAAAGTGATGTAGGGTATTTGGGAATAACCACCATAAGAAAGATGGTCTGTCGGCTTATCTCTGAGATGATATCTCCAAGATCACCTATGCCTGAAGTGAGAACATGCAAAAAAACAAAAAAAGGCTCATAAAATCATAGAATATCTCAAGTTGGAAGGGACCTACAAGGATCATCTAGTCCAGCTCCCTGATCCTTGCAGAACTACCTACAACTAAACCATCAGAGTAAGGGCATCGTTCAAATGCTCCTTGAACTCTGGCAGGCTTGGAACTGTGACCACTTCCCTGGGGAGCCTGCTCCAGTGACTGGCCACCACTCAGTGAAAAACCTCTGTGACTGACAAAGTGATTTGCTTCGGGTTGTTAAATCTGCTTTCCAAAATGTCTTGATGTTGAAAGAAACAGCATTTGAAAGGCAGGTGGTTACTATAGATTCAGTGCAGATATATGTCAGTCAAGGCAGGCAGGGATAACATAGGTTATCAGTATGTGACACATCAAACATCATAGAGGAAGCTCAAAGTTGCCACTTGGTTTGTAAACTCAAGAAATGAGCAGCAATGCCATTTAAATGCTTTAAAAAATTATTCCCTTAATAAAATCAACAAAATTAAAATACATGAGTTAAAACCCCTAATCTGATCTTTAGTACATATGTAGGACTTGGAATGCCTTTCTCAGCTTCCAAATCACTTCAGTTTCCACAGACTTCACAGGGATTTATAGATGGCTCTGCAGTTATTTTGACCGGAAAAAAAAGCAGTGAAATTCTGTACACCTACTAAAAAATGCTTTTCAGACCCTGCCCTGGTAGATGTACCTCCCAGCCCAGAAAGGAGAACAGTGCTCCCACAGGTTCCTACCTGACCAAAATTCACAGCAGCATGTTGAGCCGATGTAGTGAACATGATCACTGTGAGATATTCTGCCAGTGTCTCTCGTGTCCTGATCATCTTAGGGAACCCTAAA